GAACTTTTGCTCGTTGAAGGAAACAGATTAAATGAAGAACTACAGAGAAAAGTGTCTACCGTAGCCAGGCAACAGGAGTCTTCGAATGGAACAACCGATCGACTACAGAGACAGTTCGAGTCCATGAGTCACTCACTAGCACTTCGTAATGTTATGCTGACAGATTTGGACGAATATGTGAGGCAGCAGGAAGTCTCCAGCCACGATGGAATCTTGAATTGGAAAATCACTGAGTTCGCTAAAAAGAGGGAAGACGCCGTCTCCGGGCAACAGACGTCATTTTATAGCCCGTGCTTCTTTACCAGTCGTTATGGATACAAGATGTGCGCGCGCATCTACTTGAATGGTGATGGTATTGGAAGAGGGACACACATCTCGGTATTCTTTGTTGTTATGCGTGGTGAGTACGATGCGTTACTCCGCTGGCCATTCAGACAGAAGGTTACGTTCATGCTGCTGGATCAGAATAACGTAGAACACGTGATCGACTCCTTCAGACCTGACCCAAACAGCTCATCTTTTCAGAGACCAAGAAGAGAAACAAACATCGCTAGCGGGTGTCCTACATTTTGTCCCTTGTCGGAGTTAAACGATCATGCCTACGTCCGAGACGATACTATGTTTCTGAAGGTCATAGTCGATACGACGGATTTATAACATCAAAAGAGAATGAGCTAGTTCATTCTCTCTTGGTGACACCGGTTTCAGAAATATTTCCAGGTTTTCAGACTCTTGAGGCAGCGAAGCAAGCAGGAGACTGAGGAGAGAGAGGACAGAAAACGCGGGAAACGATCAATCTCGATCTGGCGTGCATTCTTCTATTTAGGACACTGTGTACGGATCAAACACAGATAGTTTTTATATGGGTGTCAACTCATCATTAGTGTTTTCAAAAATTTATTACGTATTTTTTTAGAAAAAAATTGCGAACAAAGAAGGAAACAGGAAAAATTAAGAAATAGAAGAAACATGCTGAAGTTGACAATGACATGTTCAGTAATAACCGAATTAATAATGAACTATGAGACGGTATAGGCAACTTTGGATTTGAAACGATTTGGAGACTTTTTTTTTACAAGTTGACGGCTTACATCATGAGTGGACAAGCAACTTGAAAGTCATGCTTCCAGCGAGCTATAGCAATCGAGTCGTGTATGTTCACCGAGAAAAGAATATTTATATATTTAATCTGTTAGACTATATATCCTGAAGGCATAATTACTAGAGGGGGTTTTTCTCCGGGGTGCTCCGGTTTCCCCCTGTTAGTTCAAATCATGTCTTTATGGAATTACTACGGATAAAAAAAGAAAAGGAAAAAGTTTAAATTATTTAATATTCAAACTGGACTTGTAATAAATGAAGAGACTCGATGAAACGAAAAAAACAGTGAAACTTGGATGCAAGAGCCAAGCAATGGAAACTAAGACCATGCTATTATTATTTATTTAGCAATTATTCCTCGAGCCCGAATGGGCTCTAAGTTCAGAGTTCATGCATGAGGGAGAGAGAAATAATTGTTTTAGTAAAATCCAACTAGTTGGTCAAAAATATCGAGACAAAACAACTTTAACTAGCAAAACGCGATTCAGCCGCCATTGTTTTGGTTTTCAAAGCCGGCGCTTTCCGCTACTGATGGGCTATAACATATGGCCTAGTAGTGGCTCAACCAATCAGAACGCAGCATTGATAATAGACCACTAGTTCGATTTTACGAATATAAAATCATCCCGTCTTTGTAATATCCTGCTTAACAGGCTGTAAACAGATCCAACTCACCAGCCCATGCTACAGTCGTGTGGTCTCAAATGATATGGCGATTATGTTTCCTCATAGGTAGTGTTATATGTAGAAATTTTAAAATAATATATGGTATTTTTTGCAAAAAAGACTATAGTTAACGGACGAACACTAAGAAATGAACAAACATGCTGAAGTTGACAGAGACATGTAATATCCCAACAATGAAATATAGACAGTATAGCCAACGCGGAATTTAATCACGATTTAGACGTTTAAGTGGACACACAACTTGTGAAGTCATAGCTGCAATGAGTTATGGTAGTCGAGTCGTGTACGTTCACCTAGATGAGTTAGCATATTTTATTTTATCAGTTAAACTTGTAACCCGGACTTGTAAGTGCTACTTACTGTACTTAAGTTTGTAATTTAACAGAGTTCATTAAGTAAAACTGTGGGGATGAGAAAACGACACGAAATGGGGTCACGTTTGAATGGATTTATGATATAACAAAAAGCTTCTCTTAACTGAGGAAGGAATATTGGATCGATGGTAAGAATAAACTAATTGTAATTGTGGGATTTTTTTTATTACAACAAGTCATGCAAGGCCGGGTCTAGTCTGCTGCTTGCAGGCTAGGGCGGGCTAAGTTGCTCTGCAATGTAAACATGACTAACGGATTGAAGAAAACTTTTTAAAAATTAAAATGATTATTATAAAGAAATACTCTTGCTATACTAGTTCAAAGGTCGTTGCTTTAGCAAAAATAAAATGCTAAAATAGACCGTACGAAAATTTATCTACAAAAATGGAAAATCAAATTTCACCGTTCTGAATTTCTCACAAAAACACTTCTGTGTTGATAATTCAATTTGATATGGCAATATTGTGACCACGACATCATCATATAAGCACTCGGAGCAGATGTTGTACATAGCATATGTTCGAGTAGAACAGCTGTTTGTTTATTATGTCACATAAAGTCCGACCGAAATCCTGCCCTGGCATCCGAGCATGATGGCACCTGGAATAAAGGTTATAATAGCTCTTATTAAAAATTTAGGAATAACATGAAGTCGTGAAGTAAACTATTTTAACAAAGTAAAACAAACTGAAAGACACACTTTCCGACAAAAAGGTTGACTTGTGAAGAAAATACTCATCCGAGTTTCAGTAAATCTTAGCCGGAAGCTCACTCTGACTATAAACCAAGAGTTTTATTAACTTGATATTGCTTGAATCGCAAAAGTATCAGATTTAAAGGTTTCATCCTACTTTGTTCATAAAAGCAAATTATAAGAATAAATTACGCACGGTCACCACACTGAGGACGAAAGAATGAAGCAAAAAACATCTTTACAGAGGCCAGTTTACCTTTTTTCAACCAGCTGATGCCTTAACATGAGCATGTCTTGACTGCAAGTAGTGTTTGTATCGATAAGTATTTCCTGTTTTCTCCTATAGAAAGACTGTAATAATGGTGTGAAATGTATGTCTAATTTACCTTTTTCTTTCTTTCTCTTTTTTTTTAGACTTTTTGACAACTTTAGTGCAATTAGGTTTATGGTAAAATACCACAACTTTTTTATTACAATCTTTCTAAAGGAGAAAACAGGAAAGACGTACCGATACAAACCTTACTTGCAGTCAAGACAAGCTCATACACCCTTCTTTTTATGTTAAACTGCATGCGCCTCTTAAATCCACGATCCCACATTAAATATACAGTCCCCCGAAGAAACTGACGAGAGCCGGCCTTTATTTAAGGTCAATCATAAAAAGAATTATTTAATCTCAGTATACTTACTCCGAGACACCGTCGTTCATCATGTTGCACTGGGAGACGTCGACGAGTGACTCTCTTGGTCTTTCTTCTTCTGCATTGCTCCTTCTATCCGCTTCAAGTTCTCTCTGTCCTCTGCTTACTCTTTGTTGTTCTTCCCTTGTCGCGCTCTCTAAGAGGAAGGCTCTATGCTCACGGTAGGTCGCTGTAAGAGCCAAGTACATTTTGAAAACACAGAGCAGTACGATGAGCATCACGATAAATGAGACGACGCTATAAATATGCTCGAACATCATTGCTATGTTCCTGGCGGTCAGTGAAGCAACACTAAGCAACGGGCCGGGATGAATGAGATATAAACTTGCTCTAGAAACTTGGCTTGTTTGTAGTACTTGAGCGGTCAGATTGTAGCTCCGTGTCTGTGCAGTTCTGCCGCTTACGCAGATATATTTAAATAACAGGTGAGCGAAATAAACATAGACCCGCCAATCAGCCAATCATAGAACTCGAACTATCCGGGAAATGTTGATTTCTTCCCATGTGTCAAGTACCGCTGCGGGGTGAAGTTGTAATACAGATCATTTTACAATTTTAACTATTAACTTTTAATACTAGAGTACTGTTTCTTTCAAATTTTGTCTTATTCACGTGCATATCTACGAATAATTTATGAAAAAGACAAAGGTTCAGGTTCCCTTGGTACCTCTATTGGGAAAACAAAACATACTCGAAATGCGCGTACCGCAGAAACTCGCGAGGCTCAGTGGGGAGGCTCATAAAATGTCAGGGATGGAGGAGGGGAGAGAATTGGAGAGTAAATTGTGTAACTGGGGAGAACAGGTTTCAATAACAAAACATACAAGCTAAAGAGGTTTTTTATAATAAAAGTTTTGAGTATTGAGTATTTTGAGATTCCCTTTATCCATGTTTACACGCATATTCCTAAAAGTGCCAAGAACATCACGCTTAAGCTTACTAGATCTTACTAATAAACACTACAGACAAAACCAATATATACAGTGTATATAGCGGACGACATTCAGATAAAACCAATATATCTATCTAACTGCCATTAATTGCCTCCATTGATGATTCTTGCAAATACCAGACGACATACTGAAATAGCCATTGGTTCTGTGATATTATAGCCTAAAGACACAAATAAACGGCCGTAGATCAATATCATCATGATCTCGAGTCATATTATTATGGTAGAAAGGTCGATCGTATCTAGGAATGATATTCTCATAAACATCCTTGATTAAAATGATCGACTGCTTCAAAGAATGGAATATCACTGTTTCATTGAGAAAGCAGAGTAAGTAAACTTACCAAAGTAGGTTGCAACCCAGACAGTCTAAATCCCCCCGACGGACCATATCGAGTTTGAGTTCTCTATCTGGGTCTCGAAGTCCGGCTGCAATGAAGGCCTATACCAGCACCACCGAGCAGAACCAGTAGGAATCGCTGCTCACCGCCGCCGTAAAATAGGCTGCTATATGTTTCTGTTTCCGCCATCGCCCGCAGCCGAAAGATGATAGTAAAATAAGTTTCGCTTCTCTAAACTAAACTGGGCAAGTTTCTAAACTAATTCAAAACTTAACGGATCGATGGCTTATTGTCTAGGTGCATGTTTTTTTCCTGTTCTGTCAAACCAAAATTATGCCGTCACTTTCAGCTTATTTTTTTATTAATCGTTCATTTGCAAGCCAAAGTGAGTCAACCGAACCATGTCGTGACTAAGACGTAAATAAGGCCCGGTAATCTAATGCAAAGGAGCGAGAACAATTGATTTTCCTCAATAGCATTAAATTCGGCACATGTGAGATGAGAAGTTTGAAGTGGGCTTAAAATGACTCTTTCCGCCAAGCCACCCTGTAGATTATTTATTTATTCAGTAATAGTTTGTCAGTGTTTATTGGTTCAGCTCTGATCTAGTTTTGCTCACTAAATGTTTAAAGGAAAATAAAGAGCATGGAAGCTACGGGGTTTAATACCACAACAGCAGCCTGTGTGTTTGCCCTCGTGTCCATTCAGAACCGCTTCGTTGCCCGGCTTTCTTGAGCTAAAAATTGTCAAGTGTAACATAATTTCAAATTAATGTAGTACATTATGTCACTAGTGTGTTGACCTTGC